CATTAAATCTTTGACAACAGTTTGAGGTACATCGATAAAAAAATTTTGCCGTTGTAGGGGAATTAGTGAGCCTTATTAGATTAGAGCCAAGATTTATAAAAAATCACAAGGCGAGAAAACAATTATTAGGCGGTTTTTATGTTAAAAAGACCGCGGAAAAAAAGCCGCTCTGGCTAGCCTATTGAAATTTAAGCTTTCATAAAGTCGAGAGAAGAGCTTTGCCCCTTTAGTAATACCGGGACAGGATAGAGACAAGAAGTTCCTTCTCGAAGTGCTATTCATAAAAAAAAAAAAAAATGGACCAGCCATCAGTTGATTATCCCGAGAGAATTAATCTCCCGTTGAATGAAGAAGGAGAAAAGGACCCCAGTTTGTCGATATTATTACATCAATTAACGTCAAGACGAAAGATTTATCAGCAAGTTTTGTTACAAAGCTCGTGGATTACAAAGTTTATGGCAAACCTACGAATCCTTCAAAGTCAATTGCCCCATGACCAGATTTACTAAGGGCTTTTGATGAAATTGAAAATTATATGACAATTTTTTAAACAGAAAGAACTGACGGCTGAAATCAGCGCTTAGAATATGCTACGCATGATTTCCCGGGGTATGATAGAAGCTTTTGAAGGGGCCCAAGCTTGTATAAACACCTTAGGCGAATGTCGACCCAGAGAGGTCCCCCAAACCCCTACCAAACCCACCCGCAGGAGTGGGGGGGCTACTGCAGCGCGGTATTTAAACCCTGCCCCCGACGTGCCGATAAACATTATCCGTCTCACTCCCTCAGCGAGGACTCTAAGGAACCCAACTGTTGACGAGAATGGAATTAAATTTCCAGTAATTGTCGGGGGAATAACGGGTGAAGAATTCCTGGAATATGGGGATTGTATCGTGTTTCCCACAACGCTATTCTGCTCGCCCCCACGAGCCGGCTCTTTCTCTCTGGGAAAAATATCCTTTTCCAAAATTGAGCGAAAATCGCTAATCCTGGTGAACGTGCCATAGCGCAGATCGGGGCACCCCGGGGAAATTGTCCTAAAATCACCCCCACCATGCACCAACACCCTTGATGACAGGCCAGAGGATTTTTAAGACCCCACCTTGCAGCACTAATATGTCAGTTCTCAGCGGGTTCTTGTCTTGAAAAAAATGAAATTGCGCAACAGCAATTAAGCGTAGTCTCGCACGCATTATGTACGCGGTTTGAGCAAGGAAAACGCAACAGAATCGACGAATTTGGTTTTAAAATTTTGTCTGGTGTCCCTGGGTCGGGCAGTGATAGCAATGGCAAAAATCAAACGGGTTTAAATTTTTCCCCAGTACATTGGCATGAGCAGAAAACAGGCCCATGAATGGCACACTGAAAATTTTCCCTCTCATTAACATATTTCAAGACATATTACTGAAAGGGAAATTCAGACATGCTTGCTCGTACCGTCAGTGAGCCCCTACTTGGCAGTACCTAAAATCATCCTAGATGAGGTGGAAATTGAACGCGGCGCCTCCCCCCAAGCTCTAGAACGGGAAATACTACAGCTGTTGTGGAGAAGCAAGGCACTGGCAGCATCAGCGGTGGCAGCAGTGCCGGTGGCGGCAGCGGCAACAGCAGCAGCTGCAGCCCGCGGCGGCGGCGGTGCAGACGTCGGACCCGCCGGTGGGATTTGGAACTAAACGAGACAGTGGCATGCGTGAAATGGACATGCCTGATGGAGTCGAGGTCACTTCACGCGGAAAACGCAACGACAGCACGATGATGTGGATATTTTATTCCTAAATGCTGTAACTAATAAAAAAAATAAAAATGTAAACTCTTCAAACTAAAGTTTTTTTAAGCCTTTAAAAAATATATATAATGGTCTATATTTTGTATTTGCCTCATACTGTCTCTGTCCCTCAACATGGACAGAGGGGGTCCGGGGAAATATATCTATTTGAGCAGTTTAGAAATATTGACATTTTCGACAATACAGCTTCGGCCTTTCAAAATATAATTACTTTCAACGCCTTTAAATCCATCCTTGAACTACGAAATAGCATTGCTTAAAGTTTTTTTATCCCAAAAAATTCAATGTTCTAACAAGAGACGATGCCGAATGCGGTATTGACTTATACAAAATCACATTACTGAAACAGGAATAAGTACAGAAGAAATAGTCCCTCACTTTTACCAAAAAAATGATGTTTTTATCGACAGATGCCAGCCATATTATTGAAGAAATTAATCGCAGCTAACAGCAATTTAAAAAAAGCCTTTAGAGGGTAATTATTCGGCACATTTCCCCAAAGGGAAAATACTCAATTATGATGTCGGAATTGGGAGGGTTTTAGTTTCGACGAGATCGCGAACCCTTTACGGGAAAAAACAATGTGCCACTTCATTTAAAGCTCAATTTAAACCGAGAATAGCTCGGGTGCTTGGGTTAGCAGCGCTTTAAAAATATTATTTATTTCGTAGTGACGCGCCCGAGGGGACCTCCTTCCCCAAGCAGATTGCCCATTCAAGCCTGATCCCACTGCCGGAGTTGATTTTGTTTTTAAAATATAGTGTTATTGTGGAACCGCAAATATACGGGAGTCAGTTAGTCAATATTCTGGATGCTTTCGCCCCTTTTAGGAGAGTTATTCAAAAGGTGCTCATCCTATGATGTACAAACCTCTATGCGTAACTAAATTAGATAAAATAGCTATCAAAATGACAGATCAGTTTGGTCGTTTTAAACTGTCTTTTGAAAGCGGTCATTCCACTACCGTAGTGTTACATGTAAGACCGATTTAAAAAGAACCAATCCGCGTAAAAATGGTTATTGTTTCTCTAACCGCCAACATGCGTTTTACCCTTTCAAGTGCCCTCTGAGCAGGAATTTCGGAGTTTATTCTCCCTAAAACCCTCCCCGGTGGGGGGTGGCCTGGGAGATATACAAACTTTTCACGCACCATACAGAGTCCGAGGTGGGGGATTTTTTTCGGCTTTAGCGGGCCTAGCTAAAGAGCTTTACCTTTTCTTTTCAGGGGTGGCTGCACCAAGTGCAGTAGAATTTGGTACTAAAATGCTCGATTTATTATCAGTCTGGAAAAACAGACATGAAAGCTGCTCTTAAATCTCACGGGATAGATGCTTTAAAAAGGTGTCGCAAAGAAGGTTATTACGGGTGGCCGAGTAAGCAGGGTGACTAAGCGACGGGTAAATAATAAATGCAAAATAAATAAACGCCGACGAAGCCGGAGTTGCTTATAAAACGGATGTATTCTCTTCGTATAAACAGTCGCTTATTAGCCATGGCGGGTGTCGGGGCTGAAAACAGTGGATCAAAGTCCCGTTAAATGATTATTCTTCCAGCGTCATTAATCAATTCCACGACCGCATAGACTGAGACAAGTTGAGAGTTCCATAGCTCGCACTCAGAGTTTTGATACTCTACCAGTAAACCTTCCTCTCTCTCAAAAACTAAAAAATAATTTTTAGAATTTAGAATTCCTGGAGTTCCCGGAGCATTTCTAGATTTAGGCAAAATAGTTATGAATTTAGAGTGACTCTAACAGAGGCCCATGGGCAAAGTCCACTAGGGGAAACAAGCAACATTGCACTCATCAATGGATTTTTTCCCAACCACGTTATTTAAAAAGTGTCCATGTTTCCTGGGCGAGCAAATAACGGAATCAAATTCTAGTTTTAATTACTGGTCATTCATTAAACTCTGCAGCTCAGTAAAACGAAGCCAGTTGCGAGGTATCGCCCGACTGGGGTATCTCTTGCCCCACTTTAAAGGAGGAGAAGGTATAACTAAATTGTTCGATACAGCCTATTTCGCCCGCACATCGGCAAAAGGGAAACCCCAGATACTGACAAAGAAAGATAAAGAACAGGGCATAACTCTGTGTTTTCCCTTGGCTCTGGAATATCCACTCTGGACCAATATCGCTTGACAATATCGATTTAAAAATTAGGCTGGAATTATCCCCTCAAGCGTGGACTCTGAAAACAGACGATGAAGCCAGCACATACCAGCTCCATATTAATTACGCTAAACTTTGGCTTAATAGAGTATACCCATATACATCAGCTTATATGGCCTTGAACAAGTCTCTAGCCTTAGACGCAAAGCCGATAATATATACTTTTAATCGCACTCTAAGTAAAAATTATGTACTAGGTCACAATCAAACGAGCCTCCTAATAGATCAGCCATGGGGTCATGTAATTTTCCCCCTAAAATTTTTATGGTAATTTTGCCCATGACAGCCTATGCGGGGAAAACATAAGGAGAATGGCTATATTTTTTAGCATGGGGATCTAGCCAGTTTATCTGTATGTATTAATAATAATACAGTTTATCGCATAAGCAGTGATTTCCCCCATCATTATAGTAAATTATATTATGAGGCAAAATTAACTCTCTGGGCATTGAGGAAGAAAATTTAATTCTCTATGAATCATTCGCCTCCGGGCGAACCATCAATATTTTCAATTTAACCGACAGCCAAGTGGAAGACGCTCTCCGATTGAAAAATCTGGTAACTTGAGAATTGAATTTTCAGTTTCTCTAAGCCCGCCCCTCATAATAAGTAGTTTTATTATTTGCTCGACCACTGGTGTTTTATCCATCGACCAGAATAGATCTGTTCATTGTGATGTTTCGGGGCATAAATAAAAAATGAATTGCGCAGAAAAAAAATAATAGTTTAATTTCCCCCCCTAGGAATTAAAGTCACATATATTGGCTGTTTCACTATAGACGCTCTACAGCAAATAAGATTAGATGACTATCCCTCAGACAGGCCCATAGTGCTTGTAAGTAATATTCTTCCTTCGTACAGCTCAAAAGTAATGGGTCATTTTTTTTCTCTTCTCTTGGACAAGAAAAATAGTCTATCCTTCTTCTTTGACAGTTACGGGAAAACCAGAGAATTATGGCATAAATTTAAAAAAATTTTTTAAACTAAATAAAATTTAAAAATTTATATCGTTTTTATCCGACAGAACACAAAAGGGGTTTTTCACTCACTTGCGGTCTATATGTTATGATGTTTATTCATAAAGCAAGCCTTGTGGGATTAGAAAGAGCTTTATATTTTTTTAAAAAAAATTTCTCGGAAAAATCGCTTTTTATCAATGACAGATTAGTGATAGCATATGCTAGAGAGAATTTTAAAATGTTACCTCCTTGTGAAAAAACATTTTGCCTAAGTAGACAAGGTTATCTTTGTGCTTCCCTCTGTGAGGAAGGTCACCTCTGACGAGAGTATCCCCCAAATACCCCTCCTGGCTGGTAAGGCCCTCTCTGAGTTGTATATAAGAGCCCGCTGAAGCTGTCTTCCCGCAAAAGATAGAGGCTGACCTCTCCATAGCCTTTTACTCTCATCATGGCGAAGGAAGCAGGCATTCTCGATTCTGGTAAGCGAGACATTTTATTTTGCTAAAAACTTCTCTTTGAATATTAACGAAACAAACGAGAGCAAGAGACTTATAATAATTTTTAAAGTTGAGTCTCTTTTTTCAACAGTTTTCACAGCACCAGTCAGAATTTGTAAAGTTTTTGATTTTATCGGCTGGTAGATTGGATACTTCTCTTTGAATATTAACGAAACAAAACGAGCGCAAGAGACTTATAATAATTTTAAAGTTGAGTCTCCTTTTTTTCTTCAACAGTTTTCACTGGGCCAGTCAGAATTTGTAAAGTTTTGATTTTATCGGCTGGTAGATTGGAAGGGAAGGAACACACCGGCTTCAAACTCCTAAAGCGGTGTCATTGTGATGATAGCAGGAAACGCAAACATAGGCTTCCTCAGGAAAGGGTATGTCTTTTCTATGTTCCCTCCTTTGGGAATTAGAGACGAGTCCCCCTCCTTTATTTGAAAGTGAAAAAAATATGTTCTCTTTATGACTTACAGCCTGTGGAAGATGGGAAACAGTTCATCTGATATAGAGGAGCCCATGAAGAAAGAACCGATCTCGACAACGATGAAACGCAGAGCCTTCCCTCATGTCAGTCTGATGACCTCGTTGTGGACCTCTCTACGCTCACTGCTCAATCTGATGACTCTGTTTTAGGTCACTGCCGCAGCAGGTGCTGAACAAACTGGCGACCTTGAAGCGCACCCTGACGGTCAGTCGGAGAAGGAAGGGAAAACCCCCGACGTGAGAGTAAATGGGAGACGCAGTAAAGCCAGCAGAAAGGGGTTAAAGCCGGCAGAAGGGGTAAAGACGGCAGATGATTTATGATGTACCTGAAAAGGGGAAATTTATTTTCGAGCGGGAGGTTATCAATCTTACGAAAGTGAACAGGAGGAGCGCCCGTCATTCAGTCTAGCCAGTAAAACTCGCACAGTTTCGCCCCTTTGCTCGGCTAAAAAAAATTTGCACAGCTTTTGCCCTTTTGTATGTGAATTAATAAAAAATATTGACAAACTCTGATTTTTATTTACATATAATATTATTACTATCTTCTCTAGTCTAAACATATATAAAATATATATATAAACAATACGCACCACTTAAGCCTCTCCCCATCTGAGAGGAAAATGTATATGTCAAAGTTCCTATTTAAAAGCTCTATCAGCACAAAGGTCTTCCCTAGATGGCCTCTCTCACTGCTTTTAAGCCTCCCCCACCTGGAAAGATCTAGCAGCTGGCAAGAATAAACACTACCGTTAGTACCCCGGAAGAACCTTTTTTTTTTTTGCTGAGGTACGGACGGGCGAGCAACACTCCTTTGGGGGACCAGCTAGCCATCCATTACCGCGTTCTTTAAACCCAGCCCGTGTTGTTGTTTAAGTAGCAACAGTCGCGTCAGTGAGTCGCAGGCCCGGGAAAGGGGGGGGGGGACTCCCTCGGAGATGGTAAGCTTGTACCCAGTCACCTGAATCCTTTGTACTGTCTCTCCCATCTATCAGAAATGATTGAGTTTGGGGAGTCAAAAGTGATCATTACCCTACCTTCTTATAATTAGTAATTACACAGAATAAGCCTTTTTCTCTCCTCTATCCCCTTGGGGGATGTTTAAACATATTAAATCTTGTACCCCTGACAGCACCTGTGCTTATGAAGACCAACCCATTATCACATTCTTTTTCCACACTCATTATCCCGGGAATCTGCCCACCTGCACACCTGAATCCTTTTTTGTACTGCCTCTCCCATCTATCAGAGTGATTGAGTTTGGGGTGTCAGAAGTGATCATTACCTACCTTCCTATACTTAGTAATTACACAGAAATAAATCTCTCTATCCCCTGGGGGATGATTAAACATATTAAACTTGTACCCCCTGACAGCACCTGTGCTTATGCAGACCACCCCTTATCACATTCTTTTCCACACCATTATCCCGGAATCTGCCACCCGCACACCCCAATCCTTTGTTCTACTTTATGTACCTACTTATTAATGCATAGGAATAAGTCTCTCTATCCCCTTGGGCCATGATTAATCATATTAAACAATTACCCTGTCATGCAAACCCCATCATTATCGCATTTTCCATGGTCATTATCCGGCAGTGTTCCTAGATCGACCAATATATACTACTACTAATGCCGGAAAAAAATCCCTCCCCCCAGTACCAACAATACCACCAGTCCGATGACATTCTTCTTTGCAAATATACAGGGTCTAAAGCCAGCAACAAACAACAAAATACCCTTCATTCGTGGACTGCTTGCAGAGGCAAAGGCAATGTTCGCGGCTTTCACTGAGACCCACATAAAGGATCACTTGGACAACGAAATATGGATCCCAGGTTACAACCTATACAGATGTGACAGAGTGAACAGGCAAAAGGGGGGGGGGATTGGCCTGTACATTGCAGAGTCACTTGTTTGCACAGAACTGCTAAATGCCTCAAATGATGTAGTGGAAGTTTTAGCAGTAAAGGTCGAGAACCAAAACCTATCTTGTGGTAGTCTACAAGCCTCCGGATGCAAAAATCCCAGCAATTCCAGAAACACTGTTGAAAATTGACCACTGTTTGGAAAAAACTTCCCGCTCCTGCACCCAACATCTTGCTCCTGGGGGATTTCAACTTAAGGCACCTAAAATGGAGGAATATAGCAAATAATATTGTTGCAGTAATAACACCCGGAGGGAGCTCTGATGAAAACTCCCCTCACACAAGCTTTTAAATCTCTGCACAAAATTCAATTTAAACCAGCAAAATAATTGAGCCCACTAGACTGGAGAATACACTAGACCTCATCTTCACTAACAATGATGATCTGATAAGAAATGTCACCATATCAAAAAAATATACTCAGATCACAACTAATTGAGGTTCAGACATGTATGCGTGGAGCCCAGACCGACATAATGAGACTAGTCACGAGGGAGCATCCACCAAATTCAACTTCAATAACAAAACATTAAAAATGGGACCAAGTAAACCAAAGGGTCCTAACCGATATAAGCTGGGAAGATATGCTAAGCAACACAGACCCCAACGTATGCCTAGAACAGATTAACTTGGTGGCACTCGATGTACCCACAAGGCTTATTCCTCTAAGAAAAAAGGAGTAGATGTAAAATAGAAAGAGAACAGGCGCTCCCTTTACAGGCGACGGAAAAAAAATAACAGAAGGGCCCTAAAAGAGGTCAATATATCTGAAATGCGCGGGGGAGACACTGGTCAGAGAAATAGCAAGCATCGAACTCAAGCTAAAGGAATCTTATAGGAGTCAGGAATCGCGGGAAGAACTAAAAGCCATAAATGAAATCGAAAGAAACCCAAAGTATTTCTTCTCCTATGCCAAATCAAAGTCGAGAACAACATCCAGTATTGGGCCCCTACTTTAAAAAAGATGTGTCCTACACAGATGACAGCAAGGAAATGAGTGAGCTACTCAAGTCCCAATATGACTCAGTTTTTAGCAAGCCGCTAACCAGACTGAGAGTCGAAGATCAAAATGATTTTTTTACGAGAGAGCCACAAAATTTGGTTAACACAAGCCTATCCTGGAGTTACCTGGAGTTTACCTGGAGAGAGTTTCGGGGGTCAACGCCCCCGCGGCCCGGTCTGTGACCAGGCCTCCTGGTGGATCAGCGCCTGATCAACCAGGCTGTTGCTGCTGGCTGCACGCAAACCAACGTACGAGCCACAGCCCGGCTGATCAGGAACTGACTTTAGTTGCTTGTCCAGTGCCAGCTTGAAGACTGCCAGGGGTCTGTTGGTAATCCCCCTTATGTGTGCTGGGAGGCAGTTGAACAGTCTCGGGCCCCTGACACTTATTGTATGGTCTCTTAACGTGCTAGTGACACCCCTGCTTTTTATTGGGGGGGGATGGTGCATCGTCTGCCAAGTCTTTTGCTTTCGTAGTGAGTGATTTTTCGTGTGCAAGTTTGGTATAGTCCTCTAGGATTTTCCAGGTGTATATAATCTTTTATCTCTCCCTCCTGCGTTCCAGGGAATACAGGTTTAGAAACCTCAAGCGCTCCCAGTAATTTTAGGTGTTTTATCTCCGTTATGCGCGCCTGTGAAAGTTCTCTGTACATTTTTCTAGGTCGGCAATTTTCCCTGCCTTGAAAGGTGCTGTTAGGTGCAGCAATATTCCAGCCTAGATAAAAACAAGGACCTGAAGAGTGTATCATGGGTTTGGGCCTTCCTAGTTTTAAGGGTTTTTTCATTACCCCATCCTGTCATTTTTTAGCAGTGCGATTGATAAAATTTTATGGCCCTTAAAGGGTGAACCTCCGACATATCACTCCTAGGTCTTTGACGTTGGTGTTTCGCTTATTTTGTGGCCAAATTTGTTTTGTACTCTGATGAAGATTTAATTTCCTCAGTTTACCATATCTGGTAATGAAATTTTCATCGTTAAACTTCAATTGTTTTCTGCAGCCCACTGAAAGTTTGGGATGTCCCCCTGGAGCCTTTCAGTGTCTGCAAGGAAGCACTGTCATAGATTGGGGTCATCTGCAAAGGAAGCCCACGGTGCTGGGGCTGACATCCTTGTTATGGGGATTGGGATGAGAACAAGATGGGCTAGTACTGTGCCTTGTGGGACAGAGCTTTTCACGTAGTCCCTCGGACTTTACTCTGTTGACGATACTCTCTGTGTTGTTAGTGGGAAAATTATGATCCCTCGACCGATTTTCCCTTTTTTCCTTTAGCGCCATTTTGTGCGCTATTACGCCGGTCACATTGTCGAAGGCTTTTTCAAGTCTGTATATATTACATTTCATTCTTTTTGCTCTAGTGCATTTTGACCTTTTCGTATGATCCAGTAGTTTAGCAGACAGGAGGACCCCTTCTAAACCCTGTTGCCCTGGGTTGTGTAATGTGGGGTTTTTAGATGGGTGGTGATCTTGCTTCTTAGGACCCTTTCAAAGATTTTTATGATTGGGGGTGTTAGTGCTATTGGTTTTAGTTTTTGCTGTTGCTTTACTGCCCCCCTTTTTGGAGTGGGGCTATGTCTGTTGTTTTTAGTAATGAGGGGCGACCCCGTGTCCAGCTCCCCTCCATAGGATGGAAAAGGTGTGATGGGGCTTCTTGCAGTTCTTTATGAACACAGTTCAGAGTCTGGGCCCCGGGGCAGGTGATGGGCATGTCTTTATCGCCCCGTTCGAAATCATTTGGGGTCAGGATAAAAATCGGGTAGGCTTGTTTAGTCAAATTTTGTGGCCTCTCATAAAAAAAATTTATTTTGGTCTTCGACTTCAGTTGGTTAGCGGCTTGCTAAAAAAATGAGTCATATTTGGGGCTTGGTAGCTACTCATTTCCCTTTCTGTCATTGTGTAGGACCCATCTTGTTTTAAATGGGGCCCCCCAAAACTGGACGTTGTTCTCGATTTTTATTTTGGTAGGAGAAGAAATACTTTTGGGGTTTTTTTCGATTTCATTTAGGCTTTTTGTTCTTCCGCTTCCTGATCCTAAAAGGGTTCTTTAGCTTAATTGATGCTTTCTTTTCTTGACCAGTGTTTCCCCGCGCATTTTTTAGTTTTA